CTGAGCTAAATCCCCAGCCCCACTTCCTATTTTTTTGTTCTGAGTCAGAGTTTCCCTAAGTCTCCCAGGCTGGCCTTGAACTCTCCATCCTCCTGCCTCAGCCTTCCAGGGACCAGGCTTACAGCAGAGCACCCCTGCGCCCGGCTGGGGCTGGACCCCAGCGTGGACCCGGGCCAATGCCTCGGCCTGTCCGAGCCTCCGTTTCCTTCTCTGTGAACTCGAAGGCGTCCGCGTGAGCATCGAAGGCAGCGCGGCGCGGTCAGAGAATGCGGTCGGCCCCTGACCCGGGTCTGTCCGCGCCTGCGCAGTGCCTTCCGCGGCTTCCAAGGGGCCCAGCCGCCGCGGGCTCCTGCCTGCTCCTGACTTCTCCCACGCCTCAGGGGAGGAGCTGAGGCTGGGGGAGGCCGAGCAGCTTCCCCGGAGGGCCACTGTGGTTGGGAGGCCGGACGGTCCCGGGGCGCAGCCTGACCCGCTGTGTCCACCTGAGGCTGCTGGGGCCGGGGTGGGCGGGGCTGCAGCGATGGACAGGACGGTGCCCCGCGCCCGTCCCCTTCCCCCGGCCTTGGCCACGTCTCCCACCGCAGGCAGGGCCACGGGACCCAGGCGGGGACACACAGCCCGAGATGCTGGCCTGAGGGTCGGAAGGGCCAGGGACGTGCAGGCCTGGCCGCCCGAGCCCTGGTGCGCCTTAGCCTCGCGGTGCGGCTGCGAGGGGGGTTTTGAGGAGTGTCTGTTGTCACACAGCATCACGGCTTGCCGCTGGGGAGTCCCCACGCTCACAGCACCCCTCGGTCATCCCCGCCCGGGGCCCCCTTGCCCGCGCTCCCCGACCCCCCGCAGCTCCCCTTCCCTTTCCCCCCGGAGTCCACGCAGGACAGGAGACAGGCGGCCCTCGCCTTCCTGCCTCGGCCTCCTGCCGCCTCTCCTGGTCCTCGCCGCTCCCCCGCGAACACCCCGATTCCACTCACTGCGCCGGGTGCATCTCCTCACCACCCCCGAGTCCCGGGCCTCACTGACTCCCCCCGCCCTCAGAGCTGCGACCTGCGAACGCGGGGTGCGGCGTCCCAGAGGGTGGCTGTGCCCTGAGCTGCCCGGGCCGCTGCCAGAGCCCGCTCTG